TCCAAACATTGATTTTCATCAATAACTAAAGCATTAGAATCAAGTGGAAAATAGTATGAAGTATGAAGCGTTGCTTATTTTTTTCAGAAATAAATATGTCAAATCATGATGTGAAGAAAATTTGATAAGGTAAATAGAATGATCAATTATTTTTATCTCACAATTAAAGTAAAAATATGAGGTATATATGAAAATAATATTTACTCTCATACCTATCTAATTCTCATAAGATAACATACTGAAGCGTTGCTTTTTAAATCAGAATATCAAATTGCTTCTGTGCATGTAAAATAACACTCATCCATCAACAAGAATTATCTTTCCAGTATCGCCCTTGAAAATATTTTAATGAAACAAAATATCAATTAAATGTTGATAAACAATTCTGCATCTGAAATTTCTGTACAATTAAAAGACTTATACGTTAAGAGATAGAAATATCTCAATATACACCGTTTAAAGGAACTGGGTATAATTTTTTTAGTTAAAATATTATAAATAATTAATAAAAATACTTGCAATAGAAACTATAAATCAACATCTGTACAATAAAACTGATTCGATTGAGTTGACTTTAAAATGGTCCTTATGAATGACATGTGTAAAATCTGGCATGGCAATTCACTGAATTCCATGAAAAAATGTCTACAGAAAGTTATCTCTCTTATCAGAAGAGTTATCTCTCTTATCAGAGGGATATTTCACCTTAATGTCTTAATCGGAACGAAAAAAAATATTCTGGGTCATTTTAGGTGCCTGTTTCTCAGATACTTCGGTCAAATTTTCTCTAACTTGGCGTAGTGTAGTAACTCTTTGACTTCGGTCAAGGAACTGTCACTCATGCTTTTGAAACACATTAGCCTGAAAAGTCGTTATGTAGTGTATATTTGCATCTGCAGCTCTCCCTTTTCTTTATTTTGAAAATTAATGAAAATGCGTGCTTTGAGGAAATATGGGTATCACATTCGAAAAACAAAGAAGGCTATTTTTCTCGGAAATGTAAAAAAAAGAAGGATATTTTTTCGGAATTTTAGTACAAAACTTATGATTAACAGCTACAAAACCTGGAAAACTCAAAATATTATCAAATATTTGATGAAGATGCAAGTTTTTGATTTCTTTTAAGAGGGCTAAAAATAAACTTCCGGTAATGGAATGAAAATCATTCAACCTTTAATGACTGATTTGGCAAAGTGAAAGATGTTCTAACTTTTTTGCTACATACATTGTAGTTACAACCCGTATATTATTTCCCCCTTAAATAAGGGTGTTGCGTTTATCTTGAGTTTCAGTATATAAATCCTAATACCAATAATGACATTTACATGCATGTATGCAGAAAAGGTTTTCACTTCCCGCCATTTTTTCCACCTGTTACTCCAGGTAAACTGAGGAGTATACTCGCGTAACACGGGTTGATCACCTGTGTCGAAGATGCCTTGTGTCTCGTTTTAATATTTACAACTATATATATAAACTAGTGTTACTTTTGTCGCTTATTCGAACATACCGAATAGTTTTAACTGATACAAGCGATTTCGCCATGGAGCGGGTGTAATGCTGGATTCAAACAAAGAGTTTTTTCACGAAAAGTGAGACGATTTGAAAAACACAAGGTTCTGCATACAGAGAATAAAAACAGTTTTTCTTTTCATCAAGATCTTTAGTCACGTTCTGCGCAATAAATTTGTAAAGTTATATTCAGATAATAAAAATGTAATTAAAATTACACAAACAGGTAGCATGAAAGATGAATTGCAAAAATTAGCCTTCTCTATTTATTCCATGTGTCTTTTGAAGAATATACAATTATCTTTAGAACGGGTTCTCAGAGAACACAATCAAGAAGCTGATTTTTAAAAAAGTTTTCGACTTTGACGATTGGGGTGTAAACCAGAGAAAAGATGGTGTTGCAGTTCTTTTGTTATTTTCCCTAAATGTGTAGAAGAGTACGTAAAAGAAGAATTTTTATGTTGCAGAAACTCATATTAATTTTTTTCAAATGCAACAATATATAAAGCAGAACGAGAAACGTATTTGGAAGCTGCATATTGACTTCCAATTTGCCATTAAACGATGTAAAAATTAGTCTCACGGCAAAATATATCAAATTTTCCGTTTTTTAAATACGGAATCCCCATTGTTCTGAAAAAGTGCCTCCTTGAAACAAAATAATTTTGATGTATACAAAAAGAGGCAGGAATTTTCTTCAAAACTGCCATTTCCGTTTTTTGTTTCAAAGAGGCACATTTTTGAAAAACGAAAAAATTGAATAAAAATTATTATCCAAACAAAATGCAAAATGTGTACATTAAACAACACTGAAAATCATCATGTCCGAAATGGTGTAGTGGATATGCTAGTGGGCTTCAATCTAGTACTTTTATCAGAGAATGGGTTCGAACCCTGGAATGGATCATTTTTGCATATTTTTCTTTCTTCTTTTTTTTCCCATATGTAATGGTAGTGCAATGAAATTATATATATTTTGAAAGAGAGAGAGAGAGGGAAGAGAGAAAGAGAGAATGTCAAGAAGTTAATCGAGTAATAACTATATATTAGAAATGCAGGATTGATTAAATTGTTTCCCTTGATATGCCATGACTTAAATTTTTTTTACATACTGTAGTTATTGCAGTTTTGAATAATTCTGGTCTCTTTGTTAGTAGCCAAGATTTGATTTGAAACAAATGAAATGTCTTAGATGAGGCACCAACAGTGTGATTATGGGACGCAGTTTTATTTCATGAAAAATATTTTCGCACGATGTCTACAGTATATCTTTCAAAATGCTGCTTTAGCCATTGTGCCTTTTGTTGTTCCAACCTTTTTCATGCAAAAGACGATAGTGTTTTGCTGTATCAAGCAGGAAATACCCGCCGTAAACATAGTCCTCTACGTAACTGTATCTATATTTAGACATAACGAAGGTATTTAAATGTCCTTATCGTTAAATAGGGAATAATTGAGTTTCTGCAACACCCTCTTTGAGGGTGTTGCAGTTCTTTTGTTATATTCCCTAAATGTGTAGCAGATTAAAAGAAGAATTTTTATGTTGCAGAAACTCATATTAATTTTTTTCAAATGCATCAATATATAAAGCACAACGAGAAACAATATTTGGAAGCTGCGTATTGACTTCCAATTTGCCATAAAATGATGTGAAAATTAGTCTCACGGCAAAATATATCAGATTTTCTTTTTTGAATAAGGAATCCCCATTGTTCTGAAAAAGTGCCTCCTTGAAACAAAATAATTTTGATGTATACACAAAGACGCAGGAATTTTCTTCAAAACTGCCATTTCCGATTTTTGTTTCAAAGAGGCACATTTTTGAAAAACGCAAACATTGAATAAAAATAATTCCTCAAACGAAATACAAAGTGTGTACATTAAATAACGCTGGAAAACCATCATGTCCGAAATGGTCTAGTGGATATGCTGGTTGGTTAACAACTCGTACATTTACCAGCGCATGGATTCGAGTCCTGGAATGGATCATTTTTGCATATATTTTTTTCTTCTAATTTTTTTCCGTATGTAATGGTATAGTGCAATAAAATTATATATTTTTTGAAAGAGAGAGAATGTCAAGAAGTTAAGTAATAACTATATGCAGGATAAAATTGTTTTCCTTCATATGCTGTGACTTAAAACTATATTTAGTTTTATCTTGGAAAATAAAGTTACTGTATTGTTTAAATAACTTATTTTTTACATACTGTAGTTATTCATGTTATTGCAATTTTGAATAATTATGGTCTCTTAGTAGCCAAGATTTGATTTGAAACAAATGAAATGTCTTGGATGTAGCACGAAGAGTGTGATTTTGGGACGCAATTTTATTTCACGAAAAATATTCTCTCAATGTCTACAGTATATCTTTCAAAAGGCTGCTTTAGCCATTATGCTTTTTGTTGTTCCAACCTTTTTCGTGCAAAATGACGAAAGTGTTTTGCTGTATCAAGCAGGGAATACCCGCCGTAAACATAGTCCTCTACGTAGCTGTATCTATATTTAGACAAATTCTCGATATATAGGGAATAATCGCGAGTTTCTGCAACACCCTCTTTATTGCCTAAATAAATGAAGTAATGGTAGTGCAATTTATTACACTGTCTAGTAAGTAGAGTATGCCAGGGCATCAAAGATAGTGGAAAACATGGAATAATTTGCATAACGGGCGAAGCCCGTTATGCTTAAATTATCCCATGTTTCCCACTATTGTTGATGTCCCTGACATACCCTCTTAACTAGACAGTGATTCCTTATATTTCCTTTTCATTGTGAAACAAAATTGTAGATTTAGACTTTATAGATACAGATAGAGATTCAAATTACACGAAAACTCCAATGCCAATTTCAATAGCATTCGCACTTTGACGTCAAACACAAAGACAGCCGCACGAGATTTGCATGCATATTTGGCCTCCCCAGCGTTAGACACAGAGACAGGCGCGCACGAGATTTGCATGCGTATTATGCCTCCTTTGCTATTGACCTATCGACCTGCCTAATTTACATTCCGGTAGAATTATCAAGAAATCAACTCTGCTAACTTTCAAAGAGTTATCACAGAAAAAATATTAGAAATGGAAATATTATGGAATTGACACCAAGATTGTACTATATTACTTATATGTATATGTATCTTAGTGTTGCATTCTTGTGTGCAGTAATACTGAAATCAGACGAAAACTGGATTGATTGTACGTTGTTGAACGTCCATCTCGAGGATTTTTCACTCATTGGTTACCAGTGGTTACATGTATCACGGCAAAGTCCATGTTTTGCACTGGGAGACCCGTAATAAATGTCGGATAAAAGGAAGTTAAATAGGAGGTCATAATGGCATTATGAAATGAAGAATATGTGAAAGTATCAATAAATTTTCTTCAGTGATATAGGAGGAATTGCGGATAAGAAACCAGAATATGTGTCCCATCTAAAAGTAAATTAAGTAAACAATATAAGATTAAAAAAAAATAAAAGGTACCAACATGGAGCTTGTGGAACTCTTCTCTCTCCACAGTTGATTAAAGTGAAGTGCTGACAAGTCTTGGAGGTAATGTCATATAGCAAGGGATAAGCACACTCATGTAGATAGGTCCCAGTCTTGCTGTTATATTGACCACACTTATAAAACTGAGCACAGCTCTGATAACTTGGTAGAATCAGTCCAGGGTTATTGTTGCAGTAGTTATTCACAGAGTCTAAAAATCAAATAAAAAATTAATATACTTCTGTAAAACCGTTTGCTGTTTATAGACCTGATCGCACTAAGACATAAATAGTGCTGTGTTGAATTGGGTTTGATTACTGAACAACTGAATCACGTGGTTATATATGGCTTGAGAGCTTCCCACTCTTGAGAAAAAAATCCAAATGAAATCACTTTTCACTTGTTTACTTTTATTGGTTCTATTCATTAGTATGAAATATATGGATATAACAAGCTCAAAAGGCCATTAAACATTACATATTTAGAAACAGATCAGACACGGACCTATAAAACATAAGGAGCTCGTTTCTCAAAAAGTCAAAGATTTGGGCTTAAGTTTGTTCAACAAAGTAAGTTACGCCAAAAGAGGATGTTGCAGTTCTTTTGTTATTTTCCCTAAATGTGTTGCAGATTAAAAGAAGAATATTATATTACAGAAACTGATATCAATTTTACTCAAATGCAACAGTATATAAAGCACAATTAGGAACAATATTTGAAAGCCTGCGTATTGACTTCCACTTTGCCATAAAATGAAGTTTAAATTTGTCTTACAACAAAATATATCAGATTTATTTTTTAGGTAGGGAATCCCAATTATTCTGAAAAATTGCCTCCTTGAAACAAAATAATTTTGATATATGCACAAAGAGGCAGGGGTTTTCTTAAAAACTGCCATTTCCAATTTTTGTTTCAAAGAGGCACATTCTTGAACAAGAGGCCGAAGGGCCAAATCGCTCAATTGAGCACATAGGCTAGGAAAAAAGCACAAATCAGATCAGAATTGAAAAGTTTACTGAGGGAGTGTGGAGGGGGATTGAATTCTAATACTACTTAAGAATAACCCCATATCAATACTGCATATAACTTCTTGAGAAAGTTCTTGAGAAAAAGATTTTTTAAACATTTTGTTTGTATGTATAACGTCACAATAATTTGAATTTGACTCCCCATTGTTTCCCTCCCTACCCCAAAGGGCACACATGATTTGAACAAATTTAGATCTCCAATACATGAGGACGCTTACATGTCAATATGACTAAACATAGCTTTTCTGTTATTGGGATTTCCACCCTTTATTTTCCTTTGTAAAACGTTGATCAACCATTGAGACCCTTCCCTACCCTTGGGGGTTATGATTTGAACAAATTTAATTTTACACTACCCTAGATGCTTCCATATAAATATCACTAATCATGGCTTTGCTATTCTTGAGAAGATTTTTTAAAATATATCTTAATGTAAAACTTGGATCCCTCATTGTGACCCAACCCTATCCTTATGGGTTATGATTTGAACAAACTAGAATCTACACTACCTGAGGATGCTTCCATACAAATATCACTGATCATGGCTTTACAGTACCTGAGAAGAATTTTTTAAAAAGATTTCCCTAAATATTCCGATGTAAAACTTTCATCGGCCATTGTGACCCCACCCTAACTTCGGGGGTCATGATTTGAATAAACTTGAAAGTACACTACCTGAGAATGATTCAGCATGAGTTTCATTTTTCCTGTCCCTATGAATCTTGAGAAGAAGGTTTTTAAAGATTTTCCCTATATATTTCTATGTAAAATTTTGATCGGTCATTGTGGCCCCACCCTACACCAAGGGTCATGATTTGAACAAACTTGAATGTACACTACCTGAGAATGATTTAACATGAGTTTAATTTTTTCTGTCCCTATGAATCTTGAGAAGATTTTTCCTATATATTCCTACGTAAATCTTTGATCGGCCATTGTGGCCCCACTCTACCCCGGGGGGTCATTATTTGAACAAACTTTAATGTACACTATCTGAGGATGATTCAACATGATTTTCATCTTTTCTGTCCCAGTGGTTCTTGAGAAGAGGATTTTTAAAGATTTTCCTGAATATTCCTATGTAGAACTTGGATCGGCCATTCTGGTCCCACCCTACCCCCGGGGGTCATGATTTGAACAAATCTGAATGTACACTATCTGAGGATTATTCAACATGAGTTTCATCTTTTCTGTCCCAATGGTTCTTGAAAAGAAGATTTTTAAAGCTTTTTCCTATATATTCCTACGTAAAACTTTGATCGGACATTTTGGCTCTGGACACCCTTGCCCCGGGGGTTACGATTTGAACAAACTTGAATCTACACTACCTGAAAATGATTCCACATGAGTTTTATCTTTCCTGGCCCAGTGGTTCTTGAGAAGAAGATTTTTTTTAAATGCCATTAATTTTTCAAAAATTCATAATTATCTCTCCTTGGAAGAGGGCGTGGCCCTTCATTTGAACAGACTTGAACCCCCTTCACCTAAAATTTCGGCCGACGGTTAAAATCAAATTGTAGATCAAAGCTCGATAATTGGGCGACGATTGGCCGAATTGCGAATGATTAACCTATTAAGGATACATAACACAAAATTTTGATGCATGCATAAGCAATTTAGCCACATATAATCCACATATGCATTGCCTTTCATATGAGGATCATATGTGGATCATATGAGAATCATATGTATATACAATCATATGAGAATCATATATGGCAAATCATATGTGGATCGAATGATCACACATATGTGAATCATATTAAGTAATATATATATGATTCACATAGGAAAAGTCATTCATACAAGAATTATATGAATATTTTGACAGTGATCATATGAGAATCATATGAAATGGTGATCATATGAGATACATATGAAACAGTGTTGACAAATTTGCCCTTGGTATACTCAAGTAAAATTTCAATTTCAATAATATATATCAATAGTAATTTAAATGTACATTAATTCAAGAGAATTTGTTAGCAATTACTTATGTAAAGTTCTTCTCTGTTTACCCCCCCCCCCCCATTTCCTTCTAAAAAAAAAAAACCTTTCACAATTTTTTTTTCTGTTATAATGCATTTCCCAGACAAAATTGATAAAAAATAAATTATTTTGCTTTTTATTTCAAATCTTTTGGGTTTGGCTTATTACTTGAGTAAAATCAAAATAATTCCGTATTTTCTTCCGGACCTGTTTTGACTTCTATCGGATGAAAGTGTACGTCATGTTTGACGTCATTGCTGCAGCAGAAGTGCTGGGTGTTGGAAAAGTAAGTAATCTCCTAACAATTTTTAAAGACTTTTGCTAAATTTAGGTCCATCGAAAACTATCTATTTTCTAACCTTCAATATTCATCCTATATTAAATACTCTGAAACTAATTCAAAGCAGTTTATAGTAGAAAAGGATTTACCAGGAGAAATTTTCAAAAATTTAATTACTCGAGCAGTAAATACTTAATTAAGAATGAATTGAGCTCCATGGCAAAAAGCTATTTTTTAAAACAAAAATTTAAATACTACGAATATCAAAAAATGCTATGGTGGAAAGATGTATATAATTATTAACAATAGAAAAACGATTAAAAAATAATTTTTCACCAGATAGTTTTTTAAAAAATCAATTTTATTGAGGTCAGAATCAGGACACATTCCGCTCTTAGATATTGAGACTAAATCATAAATATTGTTACTACATATACTGAGTATTCAGCAAATATATATCTTGTGCATATCAATTCATTGAATCTGAGGCTTTTGATCGGATACCTTAAGACCAGAAAGCCCAAAGCTGATAACACTGGCGATTGATCCTAAAGCTGATTTTGACAGACGATTGCATCATCACAATATCAAAGGTAAAAATAAATACTTAACAATAAAAAATCAAAGTGTACATCTGTAATGACTCCCTTTCTGACAAATTATTTTTTTTGTTCCTTAAGAATTCTACATTGTTTGCATGGCTTCATCAAAAATAAATTCAACTCAATAATATAGAAGTTTTATCCTACATTATGAAACAGTTTTAATCCAATGCACCTCTAAAATATGGAACGTATGAACAGAATTTGCTGCTGGCTTTAAAAGCTATAAAACTATACAATAACTTCAGGGGGTAAACTGAATTTTTGAATTTCAGCTAAAGATTAATAATAACAGTGGCACTTTTCAGGGTACAATTACATGTACATGTGTATGTGTTGAAAGAACATCAGATAGCTAATCCATTGAACATTTACACCTATGTATTCACTGACATTTATAATTTTTTTTCCAACACTAGAGAACCTATAGTTTCAGGTAAATTGTAAAAATTATTTACCAGTATTGGTTAAACACATGTGTGATTGCTGATCAAAAATCCCCACATGGCACTGCTCCACAGCCACTGTTCTACCATGCTCACATACCACATACCAAGGAGTGTGTTCCCGGCCAGGGTATTCATTGGCTCCATCAGGATGAGCACGACAACTCACCTTTGAACATGCTGGACAGCCAGCTCCTATACATTGACTTTGAATGTACTCACCTGAAATATGTATGCAGAAATATGATGAAAATGAACATTGTTGATTCATAAAATGTTATTGATATAATCTAAATGTCAACCTGAAGATTGCAGCATGAGAATTCCTCATAAACATATAAAATAAAATAATTGCAGCTTTTTAAAAATTTAAGATGACAAAGGATCACATATTTAATTCACTACACTGAAAGAAATACCTAGTTAATATACACGTTTGCCTAGAAAAACTTTCGTCGTGAATAGTGATCATTCTGTTTACTAGCTAAGATAGTGAGTAGTATGTGTCACGTTCACGTGAAGCGGAGGTCGTATAGATACCTACTAACCTAGTGAAAGTTACTTATAAATTCTAAATATACTAATGTTATCTAGTAAATCTACCCAATAGCTAGTAAAACTACTTTAAAGGTAGTGATTTTATGGACAGTAAATATACTAGTCTTCTTAGTGACCTTCATCAATTTTCAGTGTTTATTTTCAGTTATTTTGTTAACAGAGATAATTCTGAATGGCATCAACCTCTTTTATTCCTTCATAAATTTGCCATGTCCTTTTCATATCATTTTTTTTTTTTTTGTAAACTCTGGTATATATTTTTTAAACTTGTGAAATACATTTTTTTGAAAAATCATTAGCATTCAAGCAACATTTCATATATGATTTAACAATTATGAACCTACACTGTACATGTAGGATCATACACATACATGTTCATTCATTAGATAGTAACTCTGTATAAACTTTATGGAAATATGTTGTTTTTTTTAAAATTAAACTAAGTGGGTTTTTATATTCAAAAAATAATTTTGCAGCACACCAATCTTCCCTGATGTCATTTATAATTATATTTTGACTTACATGGTTCGATTGGCTCATATCGGGAACCACAATTAACCCTGCTGAAATGTTGACATGTGTCTGTCTCAATTTCGTACAGCTGCGGATACTGACATTCTTTTAAGTAAAGTCCATACTCTGAGTCTCTTGTACTGCAGTCATAAAACTGGGCACAATTCTCCGGGTTAGGAAAAGATCCAGTAGAATGCATCATACAGTAACTGGATATAGTATCTGAAAATGGAATTAAGTACTGGGTATATATTTTTCATTTTATTTTAAGGTGAAATATTAATCTGGTTTTGATTTCACCAATTGTTTCTTTTTTTGTTAATTCCAAACTTTGATTTAAATTTTCGGGACAGGGTACTAGTTGTCAGTTAACACTTCAGAGAAAAAATAGTGATGGTACTATCTCTTAATTTCTGAGATATGGCCCTCCAATTTTTAGCCCTATTATATAATACTATATAAATAAACATCAGCCTCGGGAACATCGAAGTCCCCTACCCCAGGATCTTAAATTTTCAGGACAGGGTACTAGTGCTCAGTTTCCACTTCAGTGAAAAAATGGTGATGGTACCATCTCTAATTTCTGAGATATGGCCCTCCAGTTTTTAGCACTATTATATAATACTATATAAATAAATATCGGGCTCGGGGACATCGAAGTCCCCTATCCCGGTGTCTGAAATTTTCAGGACAGGGTACTAGTGGTCAGTTACCTATTCAGTGAAAAAATGGTGATGGTACCATCTCTAGTTTCTGAGATATGACCCTCCCGTTTTTAGCCCTATTACATGATACTATATAAATAAATATCGGGCTCGGGGACATCGAAGCCACCTACCCCGGTGTCTGAAATTTTCAAGACAGATACTAGTGGTCAGTTACCACTTCTGTGCAAAAATGGTGATGGTACCATCTCTAGTTTCTGAGATATGGCCCTCCAGTTTTTAGCCATATTACCAGAGCTCCAGATAATTTTTTACCCCAAAGTGTATTTACTCCCTGATTTTCAAATCAATGCAGATTTTGATTTTCAGCAAAATGATTGAAGAGTAATTTGTTTACTAGTATAATGTTTTAACCTTTATTTTGAATTTGAGCTTGTAATCGAAGTATGTGTTTTTGAAGAGGGTCTGGAAAGAACTTCAAAGGTCGGGTCCTGCATTTATTTTTAATAAAATTGCAAATACTAACAAGACTTTTTGCTAAGATTGGGAAGCATTCTTTTCTGACAAGGAAGATTATACAGTAGGTCATGGTACCAGAGAATCAGAGACACCGAAAACTTTTTCTTAAGATATCGTATCAAGAGTACACCGAGAGAAAAGAAACTTCGTCAATATGGCAAGTTGAGAGAGATGAAAAATTGGCTAAGAACTCATAATAAAAAAAGTTATGCCAAGTGCATAGTCTTCGATCTACATAGAAATTGATTTTTATCTAAATCTCCGATTCTTCCTCCCGAAATGGAGATCGTCGTCGTCATTTCTAGAATATTCCTGGTCACTAAAAGGCTTTTGAATCTGTACTTCGTTTTGAGAAAAATCAAACACTGAGTTAACCTCAATTCGTATCATTAAGTAAGTCGTACCTGTATTCTTCAACTTGTTGTACGCAGTACTTTCGTGGTGTAATGCGTATCTATGATTGCTAATGCGTAATTGTACGCTCTATTTTAATTTTCAATGCGTATTTTGTAAAATTTAATGCGTATTTCTGCAAATACGCACCTTATCTGGAGCTCTGTATTACATGATAATATATAAATAAATATCGGGCATGGGGACAACGAAATGCCCTACACTTCAGTGAAAAAATGGTGATGGTACCATATCTAGTTTCTGAGATATGGCCCTCCAGTTTTTAGCCCTATTACATGATAATATATAAATAAACATCGGGCATTGGGACAACGAAATGCCCTACACTTCAGTGAAAACATAGGTAATCAGAGATTACACAGCTCACCTCAACGAATGTTGTCTTTAAGTAAGGCAAAGTCACACAATTAACCAACAAAAAGTGTACATTCCAAAAATGAAAATATTCATGCAATTTTGATCTGATACATTGAAATAGACCTACAGTCAAAACTGCCATAGCGACCCACTGTATTAAGCGACTCACCGTCACATGTGACCGTAAAAATTCCCCCCAATGCTTTTCCCTATATATTCTACCTGTATTAAACGACCACCTGTCTTACGCGACCAACGACCGTGATTTTTCTGACCATTTTATGAAATTTCAAGCAATTTTACCTGAATCTAACGACTACAAACTTTCTGATTCCTACTTTCAATTTCGGTCGAGCATGCTACGTTTTTGGTTCACAACTACAGACACGCTTTTATTTAAATTAATAATTATATAATGCAAGTTTTATTAATAAAACAATATTAATAAATAAATATTTTTACTTACGCTTTGATATTTATTGAATAAACATTAAAACCTAAAACACAAACATCACGTTTTTCTGTCCAGTGATCGAGCGCCATTTTGAAAATAGACGTCGAGGTCGATCCCGATGTCATTTCATTCCAAGCGGCCTATAAGGGCCAAATGGATATTTACCTATAAAAACTGCCTTTTGAACTTTAATTAACAAGAAACTAAACCCTAGATGTTTATATAAGTGCATTGTGTCACCAATGGGTATGTAAACACACGCTAGCTAGCACCCACACCAGGTGATAATTGAGGTGACTGAAATACTAGTACCGGGTCACAAACAAGCAATTAGGCACAGTAGCTCAGTAATGAAAATAAAATCAATTAGGTTAAAAAAATATTTTAGTCATAAAAATAATTTGATACCAAATGCATAACAAAAATCATGATGCAGTTTTAATTCTTAGGAATATGCAAAACATACGAAGTTATATATAGGCTAGCTAAGATCATGTTATAAAAAATTATTATTAGAAAAAAAGCAGCTCTTTTATACCGTATGAAAACAAAATTATTAATATTTTCAGCTGTTCACAATATTTCCCAATAATCACATGATTCGATTTGAACATATTTTATTGCACAAAATATATACAATGGGATGATTCATGTGAGGATCAAGCAATTTTTTTATTTTAAAACAGGACAATAATTGTAAAAGTATTTTAGATTTGAGCAGTGCCTATTAAAAAGTGAAAATTAACAGAAAGTGTTATGAAATATATTCAACATACACATGTGATATTTTTGGCATTGTATATTTGAACACTGCGGAAAATAAGCAACCTGTATTAAGAGACCACCTGTCATATGTGACCTTTTTTCCTTTCTCCGTTGGAAGGTCTCCTAATACAGGTTTGACTGTATATAAAAAAAATTCAAACTGGTTCTTCTTCTTGAAAATGTAATTAAAATCCAGTATCTGGGGCAAATTTGAGTTTTCAGCCCTTGATGCATCATATTTGTGCAAGTTTGGTTTATACAATGTTATATAAGCCTTATAGCTTTTTGGTAAAAGACCTGCACCCATAACGTTTACCTGGTCCATTATTGAAAAATGTATGTCGAATTCAGCATCCGAAGCAAGTCCGTTAGTGTGTCCTAAGATGTATCATCCATGCAAGTTTGCTCATTATAGGCCTCATAGTTACTTGGAAATCAAACCTGCATCAAAAACTTTAAACTGTTCACTCAACCAGAAAATGAAGGTCAGATTCAGCATCCGAAGCAAGTCTGGTAGTGTGCATCCTTAGATGTACCATCCATGCAAGTTTGGTCAACAAAGGGCTTATAGTTACTTGGAAATGAAACCTGCACCAAAAACTTTAACCTGAAAACTTTAACCTGTTCACTCATGTGGAAAATGTAGGTCAGATCAAGCATCCGAAGTAAGTCTATGCATCCTTAGATGTACCATCCATGCAAGTTTGGTCATTATAGGGCTCATAGGATCTTGAAAATGAAACCTGCGCCTAAAACATTAACCTGTTCACTCAACCGGAAAATGTAGGTCAGATTAAGCATCTGAAGCAAGCCCGGTAGTATGCATCCTTAGATGTATCATCCATGCAAGTTTGGTCATTATAGTGCTCATAGTATCATTGAAATGAAACGAAATGAGACATGCACCAAAAACTTTAACCTGTTCACTCAACCGGAAAATGTAGGTCAGATTCAGCATCCGAAGCAAGCCTGGTAGTGTGCATCCTGAAAAATATCATCCATGCAAGTTTGGTCAACATAGGGCTTATAGTTTCTTGGAAATGAGACCTGCAACAAAAACATTAACCTGTTCACTCAATCGGAAAATGTAGGTCAGATTCAGCATCCGAAGCAAGCCCGGTGGTGTACATCCTTAGATGTATCATCCATGCATGTTTGGTCAACATAGGGCTTATAGTTCCTTAGAAATGAGACTTACACCAAAAACTGCACCAAAACTGTTAACCTGCTCCAAAAACATTAACCTGGTCATTCCTTCGCTGAAATTGTAGCATCTGAAACTTTGACTGGTACAATGAAACACACTAGAAGCATCTTCCATGCATGTCTAATCAATATAGGTCATAGAAGTAATTAAAAAGAAAACTGCTCCAAAAAACTTAACCTGGGACATCGACACCGACGCCGACGCCGAGGGTATTACATAAGCTCCCCCAACTTTGTTGAGGTGAGCTAAAAATGGTGATGGTACCATCTCTAGTCTCTGAGATATGACCCTCCAGTTTTTAGCCCTATTATATGATATTATATAAATAAACATCAGACTGGGGAACATCGAAGTCCCCTACCCCGGAATCTTAAATTTTCAGGACAGCGTACCAGTGTTCAGTTACCACTTCTGTGAAAAAAATGGTGATGGTGCCATCTCTAGTTTTTGAGATATGGCCCTCCAGTTTTTAGCCCTATATTATAATTAATACTATACGAATAAACATCGGGCTAATTGAACACACCTGTGAAACGTAGACAGTTTTTGTAATAAAGGCGAGAGCTCTGTTATTGTTGATGTTTACAATTCGCCGGGTGCGTTCAATCCTTAAAGTCTGCTCACCATAATTAAACGGACTGACAATATACTGTACTGTACATAATAAATGATAAAGCATAGAATAATTTTTTTTAATTCTGCTTCGTGATCATTACAATGATCTCCAATAAATTCTCTTCGGCGCAGACATCAGAGAAATTTCATCTTATACCGGTAAATGAACAAAAGCCACCACCAATTATGGCAACTTAGATCACGTTAAATTCTATAAAAATTATAT